AGGATAAGAAATTCTCTCGACATCATTGTTGCGTTAAATGATGAATATGAGGCCTCGCTCCACCTTGCTGAAATGTCCAATCGTTACCGACCTTGTTTCCATACTTTAGAGCTACAGGAAGTACTTCTTTGATATACCAAGCATGATTCACCTTCCCTTTACCAAGATGACCAATGGAGTAATCGCCTTTGAACATGCACTCAACCAAACCATAACTTTTTGAGAAAACTGTCGTTTCTGTTGGACGCCACCAACTTCATCAGCTGCAGCACGATTCACCGCCCAATACCTGGTCATTTTGATCGTTTTTGTGAACACCATCGATGTCGAACATATTTTCATCAGAAAACAGAATCCTCATTGTTTGTTCTTTTTGAAAATTTGTTGGTGTCCAATTTGTAAACTTTTTCATTTTGATCTTATGATCGTCCTCAAGTAATGGTTCGACTATTTTCTTGTAGGGCCAACATCCCAAATCGTTTTTGAGTATTCGCCATACGTGTTCTTTTGGAAATATCAAATTCCCTAGCCAACTTGCGAGCTGAAACCCTCGTGTTTCCCTAAAGTCGATTTTTCACTTTTGGAATTGTTCCCTTGGACCGAACAATACGTGGGCAGCCTGATGGACTCGAAAGTTGGATAGAACCGGTGTCGCGAATTGAACGAATTTAGCCCTTGAATTTAAAAAAAATTCAAGTGCGAAAGATGAAAACTGAAGGAGATATTGAGAAAACACTGAGACCGCCATTTATTCTGCCGCACCCGATAATATTATGAAAAATACTCATCGACTCTGGCGAATAAATTGTGATAACAATAATAACATTCAGTCTTAAAGCACAATATACGCTTTCATGCAGATTTGAAAAAATATTCTGAAAAATCAGACAGATGGCAAGAAATGGATTAGAAAGAAAGAACATCCGAAGGCATTTCGCAGCAAAGGTTTCACATGAATTCCCATCCTTGAATCTTGCTGTAGAATTTCATGAAGTTTAGTTATTAAATTAAAGAGAGTTTGTTCCTGAACAATAGTTATAAGTGAGAAATATACACTTTCAAAAGACTTTTATATTAAGCATTTCTTCAAGATGTATTATGCTACACAAGATACAGAAGGAAAATTATTTTTGTCGTTCTACGTGCGTGTTAATATCTTTCTTTTATGTTATAACTCACTTTTCTAACGAGTGAACGTTCTCAGGTGCCCAATTCCGATTTCCTTCGTTCATATGCCGATCGATAGGTCATATGGAGGTATGAAAAAACCTAAGAGGATATCGGTCCAATTTACTTCCTTCCAAACTTATACGCGTTGTAAAGGTGTTTTTCCGCTGTGGACACGTTTTTGCCAAAAATGTGACTTCCAGATATAGAGCTGAAATTTTTCACATAGATACTCCAGGATCATTGTAGACTTTTGCCAAAGTTTCAACTGAAACAAAAATTCCTGTGTAGAGTTATTGAGGATCTCTCAAAATGCGTTTTCTTGGTTTTTGGGCTCTTTACGAGATCCTCAATAGCGCCA